TGTGTACTGTGTATAATTATTATGTATATATAAATACACAAAACATTTAAAAAATATTTACATGTATATAAATATTTATATTTTATATATAAACAAAAAAAAATTCCTAAATATATGCATGCATGTGTGTGTATTTATATATACATAATAATTATACACAGTACACACACGTATATTATGTAAACAAAAACTTTTATTTAGGATGCGATTAATTGCAATTAATCATTTGACAGTACTAGTTAAAATAGAAAACCACAGTAAATAGTAATAATACTTTACAATATTACTGTTTTTTGCTCAAATAAACACATTATTGGTGTGCATGAAAGACCTTTTTCAAAAAATGTTACATTTTTGGCCCACAGTGTATATGAAACAAGGACACGAAAATAATACTGTTGGCACAACATCTTAAAGCGCACTGATTGTACTATTCCCACTGGATTTTTAATGTTAGATGCTGGGTGTTCTTACCCTGAAGAACTCCTCTTCTTCCATCATCTCCCCCTCCAGCCCTTCCTCATCCTCCATCGCTATAGCCAGCCGCATCTCTGGGGCCAGATCCTGCAGTGTGCGTAACCCGGCCTGGATCACACAAGATCAGAGTCAAACATGTGTTGTGTGTTTTTGCTGAGTATCATATTTGGCTCATAGTGTATGATATAGAGAGAATATGGAGCTCATACTTGAGGAGGAAAAAACATGCAAATCGGTGCAGTTGCTGATATTTATATGGCCAAAGAAATAGCTTGTAATATACTCAGAGGTTTTTATAACTATAAAAGACTACTTGCATAAAATGCATATAAATATCAGTTGTCACTCTGTATCTCCCAATAATGTCTAAGTAAAATGATATTTAAATCTCAAAAGATACGAACATCATCACAACATGCCACTGAAAAAAAGTATGCACTTTAAATAAGAAATAAGAAAGTTCATGCTGCCCAATTCAACTTTCTATGTCATACTTAATTTTGCTGTTAAATATTCTATATTATAAATATATTATTTCTGATCTGAAATAGTTATAATTCCAATGCATGCAAAACGGCCATTTGACAAGCAAGGCAACACATTCAGACAACTGTCATAATTCTTTACCTGGAGAGAGGCTGACTTGTCCTTGCCTTTCTTCTTCCTCTCTTTCTCCTTTCGCTTGCGAAATTTTTTGAAGTAGTCCTGAATCAGGAAGCTGGCATAGAACTTTCCTGCAGTCACCTCATTCCCTAAAACGCAGAGAGATGGATTTTTAAAAAAGACAGTAAATAGTAATAATACTTTACAATATTACTGTTTTTTGCTCAAATAAACACATTATTGGTGTGCATGAAAGACCTTTTTCAAAAAATGTTACATTTTTGGCCCACAGTGTATATGAAACAAGGACACGAAAATAATACTGTTGGCACAACATCTTAAAGCGCACTGATTGTACTATTCCCACTGGATTTTTAATGTTAGATGCTGGGTGTTCTTACCCTGAAGAACTCCTCTTCTTCCATCATCTCCCCCTCCAGCCCTTCCTCATCCTCCATCGCTATAGCCAGCCGCATCTCTGGGGCCAGATCCTGCAGTGTGCGTAACCCGGCCTGGATCACACAAGATCAGAGTCAAACATGTGTTGTGTGTTTTTGCTGAGTATCATATTTGGCTCATAGTGTATGATATAGAGAGAATATGGAGCTCATACTTGAGGAGGAAAAAACATGCAAATCGGTGCAGTTGCTGATATTTATATGGCCAAAGAAATAGCTTGTAATATACTCAGAGGTTTTTATAACTATAAAAGACTACTTGCATAAAATGCATATAAATATCAGTTGTCACTCTGTATCTCCCAATAATGTCTAAGTAAAATGATATTTAAATCTCAAAAGATACGAACATCATCACAACATGCCACTGAAAAAAAGTATGCACTTTAAATAAGAAATAAGAAAGTTCATGCTGCCCAATTCAACTTTCTATGTCATACTTAATTTTGCTGTTAAATATTCTATATTATAAATATATTATTTCTGATCTGAAATAGTTATAATTCCAATGCATGCAAAACGGCCATTTGACAAGCAAGGCAACACATTCAGACAACTGTCATAATTCTTTACCTGGAGAGAGGCTGACTTGTCCTTGCCTTTCTTCTTCCTCTCTTTCTCCTTTCGCTTGCGAAATTTTTTGAAGTAGTCCTGAATCAGGAAGCTGGCATAGAACTTTCCTGCAGTCACCTCATTCCCTAAAACGCAGAGAGATGGATTTTTAAAAAAGACAAAAAAAAGTTGTATTTGTCATTTGGTTGTCCATATCAGCACATAATGCCAATTAGAAGAACTCATAACATACTGTACCTGAAGGAGGAGGTATAACTTCCTCTAGAAGTTTGGGTTTAGTGCGTTTCCAGATCTTTTTAATGATAGCTCTCAGTTCCTCGTTCTGCTGGTCAATGGGGCCTATGGTGAATGGAAAGGTACTACATTACTGTATTTAAGATCGATAAACGCTTCGTTTTTTGCTGTAGTGTGTCAAATAGCAAACATAAATATCAACCTTTTTCATATTGACGTTTATTTATTGAGACAATTACTAACATCCTCTCTTGTAAATATTAGAATTGACAGAAGTAAGTGTATTAACTAGTGTGTGTGTGTGTGTGTGTGTGTGTGTGTAGAAGTTCTACCGTCTGTTTTAATCTTGAGTGACGTTCTGACGAGAGCAAACAGAGTGGCATTGAAAGACACAGTGCCGTCAGGATGGAGAGGCACATTCATAGCAACCAATCTCTGCCGATGAGAAAGAGAGCGACAAACAGAAAGGTGCAGAGATAAGTGGTTGTAATGACATTGCTATGTGGAGCAGGTTGCTTGCTCATTCTGGGTAGTTGTTTACTGGGCCTCACAGGACTCTATGATATATTGGTCTTTTAAAAAAAATTTTTTTATACTTTTATACAGTAAGGACATGTTAAATTAATCAGAAGTGACGGTAAAGACATTTTAAAAAGCTTTCAAATAAATGCTGATTAGAAATGTTTGAACAGTAGTGTGTGGCTCGGGTTCTTTTCTCACCCATTTCATTGTAAGCCACTGACTGTACAAATCTAAGTCATGCTTACCCTACAGGCTACTCGATGTGGACAGAGTTTCCCAAAGCCCAGCGGAGGCTGAATTCTGCGCAACATGGTGACTACATCTAGATGTTTAATCCGTCCCCTAATGCAACAAGATACAAAAGTATTAGTCATTTTAATTTACATACTCATTTAAGGCAGACATAAAGCTTATTGTTTGTGGATGTATGATATCACTTACGTGGCCTCTGGGTCATAATCTGACCAGACTCGTTTAAACTCATCGAGGTGATGAGTGCCCAGCACAGTCCAGTCTCTGGTCAGATACTCAAAGTTATCCATGATGACAGCGATGAACAAGTTAATGATCTGAGAAAACACAGATTGGATCAATTAATCACTAAACAAAATTGTTTGTTATTTTCAGAGATTTTTTCATTTGCATTTTTGTAGTTTTTCCTCCCACCTAATATGATTTCTGTCACCAGTTTTGCATTCACTCTCAAAACCTTTGCAAGCAAAAATTTTGTGAGAAATGCAGGTGAATGCACTTTTTTTGCAAAGTACCTCAGGGGAATGCAAAATATTTGCGAGTTGATGCAAAACTTTTTTCAGTCAACTTAAAACTGTTGCAAGCGAAAAACAAAACTTCTGAAGTTTTGTGAGGAGATGACAGTTTCTTGGGTTAACGCAAAAGCTTTACAAGCGAATGCTTTGCATGTGTTATCTCTTACCAGGAAGGCACAGAGCGCAAAGAAACTGATGAAATAGAGGTACGCCAGGTTGCTTCCGCAGCTATACTCCTCTCCCGGCTCAATGTCAGACTCTGGGTCACATCGATGCCCTGGCAGTGCTGCAAGCATGATCTGCTGCCACTGTTCACCTGTTGCACACCTGGGTTTGAAGTAGAAACAAAGCATTCAATAAAATGTACTTAAAATCATTTACTAACTAGAGATAAGCAGATTAACCAAACTCAATTCAGACTCAACCAAGAGGCCAATGCTGGTCTATGGTCACCTGAAGAGCAACAGTACAGCCATGAAAAAGGTTTGGAAATTGTTGTTTCGATTGAGCTCTGTGCTGTCATCTATTGCTATCTTCCCAAATGTCTGGAAAAAAACAGAAAAGAGAGTTTAAACATCCCAATCTGGAACGTTCCTCATGTGAGGAGAGGGAGAGAATGAACATAAACAAATGTATAAAGAAGAACCCACCTGCATCCCAATCACGCCATAGATGAAAAAGATCATGGCAATGAGTAAGCCAACATATGGCAATGCCTAAAGGTAAGCAGAGAGACAGGAACAAATGATGCATGATATATAAAATAACTGAGAAAGATAGTTTAGCTTATTTGTTTCCTAAATGTCTCACCTGTAGTGATTTAACAAAGGTCCAAAGGAGGATTCGAATGCCTTCACCCTTACTGAGCAGCTTGACCAGTCGCATAACTCGGAAAAGGCGGAAGAAGGTGATGGACACTTTGGCACTCTCCCCTTCTTTCCCCTTTTAAAAGTGGAGAAAGAAAATGACAGGCCAAATATTAATGTGATTAAAGAGTCCAGGTAACAAAGTCCCTAATCATGTCAGTCTGACATTTCAGTGTGAATTGTTTTGTTAAGCAGTCACAATATAACGCAAGTTTTGCAAAGAGATGACAGCAAACCTGCAATCTGAGGTTAAACATTCATAATAGGTCATTTTAAAGAAAGAAGAAAAAACAACCTGTTTAAGTGTAAGGACCAAAAAAATTGAAAAATGATCAAGAAAGATTAAATTCGAAAGACAATCAAATCATAAAATTAAATTAAATTAAAGATTTAATTTATATTAAATGTAAATTAAATGGTCAAGAAAAAAAATTAATTCAAAAGACAATCAAATGGTTCAATTAAATTTTCACCAGAGAAGCTCAAAAAGTTACACTCATCTAAAGCATTTAAATAAAGAACTAATGTGTACTGTGTATAATTATTATGTATATATAAATACACAAAACATTTAAAAAATATTTACATGTATATAAATATTTATATTTTATATATAAACAAAAAAAATTTCCTAAATATATGCATGCATGTGTGTGTATTTATATATACATAATAATTATACACAGTACACACACGTATATTATGTAAACAAAAACTTTTATTTAGGATGCGATTAATTGCAATTAATCATTTGACAGTACTAGTTAAAATAGAAAACCACAGTAAATAGTAATAATACTTTACAATATTACTGTTTTTTGCTCAAATAAACACATTATTGGTGTGCATGAAAGACCTTTTTCAAAAAATGTTACATTTTTGGCCCACAGTGTATATGAAACAAGGACACGAAAATAATACTGTTGGCACAACATCTTAAAGCGCACTGATTGTACTATTCCCACTGGATTTTTAATGTTAGATGCTGGGTGTTCTTACCCTGAAGAACTCCTCTTCTTCCATCATCTCCCCCTCCAGCCCTTCCTCATCCTCCATCGCTATAGCCAGCCGCATCTCTGGGGCCAGATCCTGCAGTGTGCGTAACCCGGCCTGGATCACACAAGATCAGAGTCAAACATGTGTTGTGTGTTTTTGCTGAGTATCATATTTGGCTCATAGTGTATGATATAGAGAGAATATGGAGCTCATACTTGAGGAGGAAAAAACATGCAAATCGGTGCAGTTGCTGATATTTATATGGCCAAAGAAATAGCTTGTAATATACTCAGAGGTTTTTATAACTATAAAAGACTACTTGCATAAAATGCATATAAATATCAGTTGTCACTCTGTATCTCCCAATAATGTCTAAGTAAAATGATATTTAAATCTCAAAAGATACGAACATCATCACAACATGCCACTGAAAAAAAGTATGCACTTTAAATAAGAAATAAGAAAGTTCATGCTGCCCAATTCAACTTTCTATGTCATACTTAATTTTGCTGTTAAATATTCTATATTATAAATATATTATTTCTGATCTGAAATAGTTATAATTCCAATGCATGCAAAACGGCCATTTGACAAGCAAGGCAACACATTCAGACAACTGTCATAATTCTTTACCTGGAGAGAGGCTGACTTGTCCTTGCCTTTCTTCTTCCTCTCTTTCTCCTTTCGCTTGCGAAATTTTTTGAAGTAGTCCTGAATCAGGAAGCTGGCATAGAACTTTCCTGCAGTCACCTCATTCCCTAAAACGCAGAGAGATGGATTTTTAAAAAAGACAAAAAAAAAGTTGTATTTGTCATTTGGTTGTCCATATCAGCACATAATGCCAATTAGAAGAACTCATAACATACTGTACCTGAAGGAGGAGGTATAACTTCCTCTAGAAGTTTGGGTTTAGTGCGTTTCCAGATCTTTTTAATGATAGCTCTCAGTTCCTCGTTCTGCTGGTCAATGGGGCCTATGGTGAATGGAAAGGTACTACATTACTGTATTTAAGATCGATAAACGCTTCGTTTTTTGCTGTAGTGTGTCAAATAGCAAACATAAATATCAACCTTTTTCATATTGACGTTTATTTATTGAGACAATTACTAACATCCTCTCTTGTAAATATTAGAATTGACAGAAGTAAGTGTATTAACTAGTGTGTGTGTGTGTGTGGAAGTTCTACCGTCTGTTTTAATCTTGAGTGACGTTCTGACGAGAGCAAACAGAGTGGCATTGAAAGACACAGTGCCGTCAGGATGGAGAGGCACATTCATAGCAACCAATCTCTGCCGATGAGAAAGAGAGCGACAAACAGAAAGGTGCAGAGATAAGTGGTTGTAATGACATTGCTATGTGGAGCAGGTTGCTTGCTCATTCTGGGTAGTTGTTTACTGGGCCTCACAGGACTCTATGATATATTGGTCTTTTAAAAAAAATTTTTTTATACTTTTATACAGTAAGGACATGTTAAATTAATCAGAAGTGACGGTAAAGACATTTTAAAAAGCTTTCAAATAAATGCTGATTAGAAATGTTTGAACAGTAGTGTGTGGCTCGGGTTCTTTTCTCACCCATTTCATTGTAAGCCACTGACTGTACAAATCTAAGTCATGCTTACCCTACAGGCTACTCGATGTGGACAGAGTTTCCCAAAGCCCAGCGGAGGCTGAATTCTGCGCAACATGGTGACTACATCTAGATGTTTAATCCGTCCCCTAATGCAACAAGATACAAAAGTATTAGTCATTTTAATTTACATACTCATTTAAGGCAGACATAAAGCTTATTGTTTGTGGATGTATGATATCACTTACGTGGCCTCTGGGTCATAATCTGACCAGACTCGTTTAAACTCATCGAGGTGATGAGTGCCCAGCACAGTCCAGTCTCTGGTCAGATACTCAAAGTTATCCATGATGACAGCGATGAACAAGTTAATGATCTGAGAAAACACAGATTGGATCAATTAATCACTAAACAAAATTGTTTGTTATTTTCAGAGATTTTTTCATTTGCATTTTTGTAGTTTTTCCTCCCACCTAATATGATTTCTGTCACCAGTTTTGCATTCACTCTCAAAACCTTTGCAAGCAAAAATTTTGTGAGAAATGCAGGTGAATGCACTTTTTTTGCAAAGTACCTCAGGGGAATGCAAAATATTTGCGAGTTGATGCAAAACTTTTTTCAGTCAACTTAAAACTGTTGCAAGCGAAAAACAAAACTTCTGAAGTTTTGTGAGGAGATGACAGTTTCTTGGGTTAACGCAAAAGCTTTACAAGCGAATGCTTTGCATGTGTTATCTCTTACCAGGAAGGCACAGAGCGCAAAGAAACTGATGAAATAGAGGTACGCCAGGTTGCTTCCGCAGCTATACTCCTCTCCCGGCTCAATGTCAGACTCTGGGTCACATCGATGCCCTGGCAGTGCTGCAAGCATGATCTGCTGCCACTGTTCACCTGTTGCACACCTGGGTTTGAAGTAGAAACAAAGCATTCAATAAAATGTACTTAAAATCATTTACTAACTAGAGATAAGCAGATTAACCAAACTCAATTCAGACTCAACCAAGAGGCCAATGCTGGTCTATGGTCACCTGAAGAGCAACAGTACAGCCATGAAAAAGGTTTGGAAATTGTTGTTTCGATTGAGCTCTGTGCTGTCATCTATTGCTATCTTCCCAAATGTCTGGAAAAAAACAGAAAAGAGAGTTTAAACATCCCAATCTGGAACGTTCCTCATGTGAGGAGAGGGAGAGAATGAACATAAACAAATGTATAAAGAAGAACCCACCTGCATCCCAATCACGCCATAGATGAAAAAGATCATGGCAATGAGTAAGCCAACATATGGCAATGCCTAAAGGTAAGCAGAGAGACAGGAACAAATGATGCATGATATATAAAATAACTGAGAAAGATAGTTTAGCTTATTTGTTTCCTAAATGTCTCACCTGTAGTGATTTAACAAAGGTCCAAAGGAGGATTCGAATGCCTTCACCCTTACTGAGCAGCTTGACCAGTCGCATAACTCGGAAAAGGCGGAAGAAGGTGATGGACACTTTGGCACTCTCCCCTTCTTTCCCCTTTTAAAAGTGGAGAAAGAAAATGACAGGCCAAATATTAATGTGATTAAAGAGTCCAGGTAACAAAGTCCCTAATCATGTCAGTCTGACATTTCAGTGTGAATTGTTTTACTAAGCAGTCACAATATAATGCAAGTTTTGCAAAGAGATGACAGCAAACCTGCAATCTGAGGTTAAACATTCATAATAGGTCATTTTAAAGAAAGAAGAAAAAACAACCTGTTTAAGTGTAAGGACCAAAAAATTTGAAAAATGGTCAAGAAAGATTAAATTCGAAAGACAATCAAATCATAAAATTAAATTAAATTAAAGATTTAATTTATATTAAATGTAAATTAAATGGTCAAGAAAAAAATTTAATTCAAAAGACAATCAAATGGTTCAATTAAATTTTCACCAGAGAAGCTCAAAAAGTTACACTCATCTAAAGCATTTAAATAAAGAACTAACATTAATATTAAAATGAAAAAAAAAAAATGTAATGCTGTCCTAGAACCTTCTATTTATTACCACATAAACCAGGACCAAAGTTTCTTTCTGCAGATTTCTATACGATGTCACCATAACTAAATAAAATTCATGTCATGTCGGAATGATCATATTTACAAGATAACTGTGCATAAATACCATAGTGTCTTAATTACTAGAGGGGAAAGTCACAATTTCACTGATGCTCTGATTTGGGGTGTTCATTAAAATTTATGGAAGCAAATCAGCAGCAAAGTCTTACTGATCATAAATAAGGTTTTACTGTGACTTTTTGGACTACAATTTAGTATGTACTGTGTGTACTGTTAATGAGCAAGAGCTATACAACTTCAAAGATATGAATACTTATTTAGCTGATGTATAAGGTGCCATATTCGTACCTCACCATGGCCTCCTCCACCCTGAGTGAGTGACAGGACCATCCACAGGAGAGCAGGAAACAGAAGAGATTATAGAAATTGATAAGTGTGTGTGTCTGAGATAACAAAAGATATAGTACTTGATATGTCACACCAAAAGTTCACGCTGACTAGATTTGGACATGCATAGGAATCTCTCACAGATCAGATATAGTTACATACACTGAACTCTGCTATCATGATGTCCACCAAACTGCCCACCACTATCAGAGCATCAAAAGAGTTCCAGGCATCTATAAAATAGTGCTGTGTTGTCCAAAGCACAAAGAGCGAGAGCAAGAGAGAGAGAAAACAGCACAAATGTCAAGGCACTAACACAAATGGACAAATCAAGACTGCATATCAAATCACTGGAGCAAAGTAAAAAGTGAAAGAGCAAGGACAGTGTGCAGCAAGACTCACATAAGGTCTCAGAGCCAGAAGTTTGATGATCATCTCAACAGTAAAGAGCGTAGTGAAGATCATGTTCAGGATGTCCATCACAAAGTTGAAGAGTTTGGATTGCTCATAGTGCTGTGGGTCACAGTCAAGTGATCTCATTAGTGCTCTAGACTATGGCTTCATTTACGGTGAAGAGCGCCAGCATCCCCATCAACACGTTGTCAAAGGTAAAGTCGCTGTTCTCCCAAACTCTCTCCCTCACCATTGGATGGTTCATATCACCATCTTTGAACACCACAAATGTGCCCCTGAAACAATCACGCACACAAGTCTCAGAAAACAACCCAGTGAGTCACTGTGAGTGCAAAGCAAACAAATCTATGACCAAACCACATACTTGCACTCTTCGGGTGTATGTTTCGCCTCATCCGTACATCTGTAGAACCGGCCCTGCAAGGGGGATTACATTCATGTTAATCAGCAAGTAAATACGTATTGGAAATAGCTATTTGGATATTGTTTGCACAGCCTAGGTGATGTCAACCTAAAAGGAAAGTTACTACATTTTAATGAAAGGCTGACGGATTAAAGACGGACCCTTTTTTTCTTAGGAAATAATGAATTGATGAATCAAGCACCAGGAACATGCATTCATGTTGATTTTATGCACCTTGAAAAGCTGCACACCAATACAAGCGAACATGAACTGGAGGAGAGTGGTGACGATGAGGATGTTGCCAATAGTGCGGATGGCCACGAACACACACTGAATCACGCTCTGAAGACACAAGCAGCAACACTCATTGAAGGTTATGAATAAACAGTACTGGAAATAATGAACATAATGGTATTTAGGGCAGCATGACATTGAAAACAAACATTGCACACTGCAATATTTTATTTTTCTGTTATATATATATATATATATACTGTGATATGAAAATGTGCTACCCGGTCTCATTAAATGACAGCATTTGCGATTTGATAATCGCAGTAAAGCCATATTGCAATATCTAATTTATATTTCAATATATCATGCAGGTCTAATGGTATTGGATGACTGGACTGTGGATGTTAGCATGGAGAAATGCATTGTGAGTTTGTACCTTGAGTCCCTTTGCCCTGTTGATGGCTCGAAGAGGCCTGAGCACTCGCAATACTCGAAGAATCTTCACCACAGAAATGGCACTTGAACTAAATACAGAAATGACAACAAATAAATAAATGAATCAAGGAATAATTGAACTAAGTGATAGATGGACACTTACTGCAAGAAGAAAGAGGTGAGGGATACGCTGACGACCAGAAGGTCCAGCAGGTTGAAGGCGTTTCTGCAGAAGGAACCTTGATGAAGGAAAGCTCCATACACAGTCATCTGAGCAACACACCACCACACATTTTCATTAATATACAAAAGTTTAAAAAATATAAAGTTTAAACTCAATATTCACAAACATCTGATGATTTTGCACATGACCAATCCCTGGTCAGAGCTCAAAACCAGTGTTAGTTTAGTATCATTTTTATGCTATTAAAGTTATACTGTATTTTCTGTATTAGCGTTTAGTTTTATATTCAGATTTCATTTAAATTTTAGTTACATTTTTAGTCATTTTGTTTTTTTTTCATATTTTAGTTTTAGTTAGCAGTTATTGTGCTTCAACCTTATTGAAGTGATTTTAGTTAGTTGCCAATACAACATTCCTACTTTTTGTTTTAGTGTAAGTTTTCCATCTAATATTTTTGTTTTATTTTATTTCACCTTCATTTCAATTTATAAAAATATTATTTAATAATTGTAGTTTTTAGTTTTAGTTAACAATAATACCCCTGGCCATTATTGCACATGTAGAAAAGATAAAAATCAATTTATCAAAAGTCATAAGAGTGACTTTTTATTATGCGCGAGATGATCAATAGTTTACCTTCAACATGATCTCAATAGTGAAGACGGTGGTAAAGACATAATCAGCATAGCCCAGCATCTATCATAAGACATAAAGACAGCAATCAAGAGTACAGTCGTCGTCTTTGGCACCTGGTCAATTTCACGTTTCATGTCATATTTCACATCAAAAAATAAAATACTTTGCATAGAAAAAAAACAAAAACATTTTTAGGACAATTAAGATGAAAAATACATATTATTTCAATTATAATTTAAAAATACAATTGTAAACATAATAATAATATTGGGTGATTTTAAGGACAATGCCGTTAAGTTAAATATTTAAATTATATGCAGTGATTATATTTTAAAAAATGTAATGATTTTGCATTAAAGTGATAAATGTGAATAATACATTTGTGCTTACATGAAAATAATCTCACAATGTAAAAAGAAAAAAAAACAATTAATTTTCTTGATATAGAATATAATTGATTTGGGGTGAAATATGAAAGTCTTCATGGGATTCACCTACATATCTGGTTTTAGCCTTTTTTCAAACTAGAGATTGTACTTTAAGGCTAGTTTAATCTCTATAGAGCACAAGGGATGGAGTTTGGGAATCATGGGAACCACAGTCCTCTTAAGAAAAGCCATCCAGCAGGGACACAACATCTATCACTGTTTTAAGACCATCAAATGCTAATTTTGCAGGGCCAGTAAGTGCGCCTGAGTACAGTTTATTTCAGAATTGTAAAATTATATATGAATAATTTTGTTCACTATATTTAACAATGGGAATACTGGAAGATCTGCACACAGACTGGCCCTCAAGCGCTCTGATCTAGTCCTCTATTCTAGAGGTGCATGAACTTACAACGTTCCTGACAGAATGAGTTTTGATTGGGTCTTCAGCAGCCAATGAAAAACTACTGAATATGATGAAGATGAGGATGAAGTTGGTGAAGTAATGATGATGAATGAGGTTGTGGCAGGCGACTCTGAGACTAAGTGAATATTAGCACGGTCAATTTCAGGTCAGAGATAAGAAAAAATATCATTATTAACCACCATAGTTAGTAAAACTATTTTTTTTAACATACCAGTTTTTCTTTCCAAGGATGAAAAAAGAACTTCCATCAGGAATGGGTACAATTTTCTCTTTGGGTTGAAAACTTTCAACTTTCATTGGAGTGCCTATACCTTTAGAAAATACGAAGATTTTAAAAAATGTCATTAAATAAATTCACATTACAGTTTATTTCAGAATTGTAAAATTATATATGAATAATTTTGTTCACTATATTTAACAATGGGAATACTGGAAGATCTGCACACAGACTGGCCCTCAAGCGCTCTGATCTAGTCCTCTATTCTAGAGGTGCATGAACTTACAACGTTCCTGACAGAATGAGTTTTGATTGGGTCTTCAGCAGCCAATGAAAAACTACTGAATATGATGAAGATGAGGATGAAGTTGGTGAAGTAATGATGATGAATGAGGTTGTGGCAGGCGACTCTGAGACTAAGTGAATATTAGCACGGTCAATTTCAGGTCAGAGATAAGAAAAAATATCATTATTAACCACCATAGTTAGTAAAACTATTTTTTTTAACATACCAGTTTTTCTTTCCAAGGATGAAAAAAGAACTTCCATCAGGAATTGGTACAATTTTCTCTTTGGGTTGAAAACTTTCAACTTTCATTGGAGTGCCTATACCTTTAGAAAATACGAAGATTTAAAAAAATGTCATTAAATAAATTCACATATATAATGAAAGTGAATGTAAAGAGTTGGACTGGACAGAATTTACCCTCAAGTCCTTCAATTGCTCTCAACTCTTCGTTCTCTTCCCAATCGTCCACATCATTCTAAACAAATTCAGAACAAGAAAAATATAAAGAATAATATGACGAGAACAATCATAGAAATTCTATAATTGGATAACTGATATAAATTATAATCAACAGACAATATAGAAATCCTCAGTCAAATGGAAATCACTTGCTTAATAAATGTCTTTGATCATATAATGCATGATTAATAAGTGTATATAAAACCATGATTTTTCATTCATCAAAATGTGATAACTTTTTACTTTTTCCACTAAAAAAACCCCATTAATATTTACCAATTATACCTTCTATCATTTGAACAGATCAGAACAAATTTGGAGAAATGTATCATTACATTAGTTGCTCAGCAATGGATGCTCTGCAGTGAATGGGTGCCGTCAGAATGAGAGTCCAAACAGCTGATAAAAACATCACAATAATCCACAAGTAATCCACACCACTCCAGTTGTGTGGAAAACAAGCTGAAGAAAAGATGCGTGTTTGTAAGAAACAAATCCATCAAGACATTTTCAACAAGACATTTTGCTTTTGCCTAAAATTCAAGTCCTCTGTCCATAATACTGCATAGATCTGTCTGAATCAGGAGAGAAATTTGTTCAGATCAAGCACAGTTTACAAGTGAAAACAGCTCTAAACAAATATGTCGGAGGATTTTGATGCAGAGGATGGATTTTTCACTGGAGGAAGCGTTATTATGGATTATGGACTCATATGTTGGCCAGAGGAACAATTTAAAGTTAAAATGCTTTAATGATGGATTTTGTTTCTTACAAACATGCAGCTTTTCACTTCACAAATGTTAACTGATGGACTGGAGTGGTGTGGATTACTTGTGGATTATTGTGATGTTTTTATCAGACTCTCAATCTGACGGCACCCATTCACTGCAGAGGATCTATTGGCGAGCAAGTGATGTGATGCTACATTTCTCCAAATCTGTGCCAATAAAGAAACAAACTCATCTACATCTTGCTTGGCCTAGGAGGGAGTACATTTAAATTTTTGGGTGAACTATTCCTTTAAATGTGTCTCAAATGCAGAGAGAAAGAAAGAGCACCCCAGAACTTACTCCAGCTTCGTCTTCCTCTCTGTCTTCATCATCCTCCCATTCCTCCTCCTCTTCTTTTTTCTCCCTTTAAAACAACAAACAGATTGAGCTCTGTGCCTGTGAATGCAGGACAGTACAAGGATGTGCACATTTTGCTTCTGTCCTGTGTGTGTGTGCTACCTACTCTTTTTTCTTTTTGCCTCCGTCTCCGGCTAAGTTGTCCACAGCGATAGCCAAGAAGACATTCAACAAGATGTCTGGATGACAAAGTCAAGGGCCAGAAACAAGACTCCAGATACAAGAATAGCCATGTGGAAAGGTTAATAGATATAAAAATATGGAGCTTATAGATTGAATGTATTTTATACATATTTCACATTGAAAAGATACAGTTACCACAGACAAAAAGAATGACAAAGTAAATAGAGACAATCATATTGGGAAATATTGGTCCTCCATACGCCATGATGCCATCATACATAACGGAGTTCCAGTCCTCTCCTGTTAGGATCTACATAAGAAACAGCTGCAGTTTACATCTCCCAATTCAGTACAGAAACTACAGTATTCTGAATATCTTCCCAATCTCTTATCATTTGTATAGTATAATAAAGACGTAAAGAACCATCATTAAAATGATTGCTGATAAATAAATCATTGTTTTGGAAGTAGGACGACAAAAAAGCCACTTCCTACACAATCTGTAGATGCACATAAGCCTATACTCCCTTGTGAAAAAGAAGTGCACTTAATTGTATTGAATGTGCACTTGTAGTGTTCTTTAAATCTTAAAAGTATGTTTGAAAAAACTGTACTGGCAGATAATATAATATTATAATACAATAAAATATTAAATAAAAGGCCACTTAAGTGTACTTAAAGAGACACTTACAAGGCACTTAAGTATACTTAAAAAAAAAGGCACTTTAATAATGTCAAATTAAAAGTTTTATTTTAAAGTACATATTAAACATTATGCTTTAATAATCTTTTGTCATGCTTTAAATAAGTACACTTATTTTGATACTAACATACTGAAGCACATTATAATTTTAACCATAGCGTGTTATTTGATATTACATTTAAAGTTAATATATTGTAAATATGCTAAATTGCACCTTCATCATTACAAGTGTGTGAATACAAACATATTTAAATTCATGACATCCAGGTTTCAGTAGAAATGACATTAAAGTATTTTTTAGTTTACCATAAATACTTGTACATTCAGCAGTACACTTTAACCATATTTTAAAGAGTAGTAACTATGAAATGTTAATTATGAAATTACATGTAAAGACCTACTTAAGTCCTACTTAAGTTGGTCGATAAAAGCACTCTAATTTTCAGCTAATTACATTTCATATAAATATATATATTGCAATTACAGTGGGGGAAATAAGTATTTAACACGTCAACATTTTTTTAATTAAAAAGTTCCTGTGCAGCATTTCCCATAAAATTTTGACCAGACGTTGGTATTAACACAAGAAATCTACACAGATAAAGAAATCATAATATTACAATCCGTAAAAAAAGTTATGTGCAATAAAGTGAAATGACCCAGGAAAAAAATATTGACCACTCCTGTTGAAATTGTTTTTATTACTTAGTGGAAATGTCTTTATTTGCTATGGCAGCTTCAAGACGCTTCCTGTCTGAACAAACTTTAAATCTTGAATATTCCAGGTGGCCCTCTTATGAATCATGATCTACAGTTTCTTCCACAAATACTGTATGTTCTATATTGGGTTTAAGTCTGGTGATTGCCTGGGTCATTCCAACAACTTAATTTTCTCCCTCAGGAACCAATTCAGAGTCTCATTTGCATTATTTATAAAGCTTTGGATGGTTGTCCTTCTAGAAGGTCCATCCGCATCTCATCCTTATCATCCTGGTGGATGGCAACAGATTCATCTGAAGAATTTCCCAGTACACGGCTCCATTCATCTTCCCTTCAATAATATGGATTCTGCCGGTACCATGAGAAGAGAAACAGCCTCAAATGATGCTTCCACCTCCAAACTTCACTGTTGGTATGGTATTTTCAGGGTCATATGCAGAGACATTTATCCTCCAGAAAAGACTTGTGGTATTATTGCAAAGTTCAAATTTTGTAATGTCTGAGCAGATTATATTCTCCCAGTAATTCAATGACGTGTATAAAACTTCAAATGAGCTTAAACATGCCTTTTCTTCAATATTTTAGCCTTCCAGAGTGAGTGTGCATGGAGGCCGTGGTAATGGAATGCATTGCCTATTGTTTTCTCTGTGACAAGTGTATCTGCTGCCTCCTAATCTTTCAAGAGCATTTCCCGAGTGGTCCTTGGCTCCTGGACTACTCTTCTGACTCCCTGATCAGAAATCTTGTGAGGAGTTCCTGTGCATAGCTGATTCATGGTGGAGTGATGTTCCTTCCACTTACAGATAACGGCCCTAATGCTTTCAGGAACATTTAGTAGTTGTGAAATCCATCGGTAACCAGTACCATTATTATGTAGCGCAACAATCTTGTTGCACAGGTCTTCTGAGAGCTCTTTGCCTCTACCCATCATGAGATGTTAGTATACTTTCATTCAGAGGTGGGTTAGCCTTTTTCTTAGCGTGCTCAATACTTTTTTCCTGTGTCATTCCACTTTATTAAATATAACTTTTTTATGGATTGTAATAGCATGATTTCGGTCACACTTTATTTTAAGGTCCAATTCTCCCCATATACTCCGTCTTATGACGTCTTAGTAACAGAGGAAGTTACCTGGAAACAGGTGAGCAGGGCAGATGGAAAAGTGTCAAAGGTGCTTCTTTTCATTTGAGTCTCATCAAAGTTGAACTTTCCGCCAAAGAGCTGCATGCCCAGGAGAGCGAAGATGATGAGGAAGAGGAAGAGCAGCAGCAGCAGGGAGCAAATGGCCTTCATAGAGTTCAGCAAAGAGCTCACCAGGTCTGATAGTGCAGCCCAGTGTCTAAAGAGAGACATCAACAAATTCAGCATCAGACTCTTAAAAATCAGCATGACTCTCGTTGAGTCTCAATTTAATAAGTTCTCATTTTTTAAATAAAATCTAAAAGGCATAGCAGGGTATTTATAGTTAACTAAAACTAACATTAAAACTAAATCCATAAAAAAAAATATTTTTGTTACTTAAAAAAACAAAAAGAAATCAAATCTAGCTAAACAAAACTTGAATTTTAGGTCGCTGCCAAAGCAACATTTCTCATTTTCATGTACTTTACCTTGATGTACTAAAAACTAAAACTGAAATAAAAATTTATGAAAACAGTATAGGCATATATACATATATATATATATATATATATATATATATATATATATATAAAACGTTAATAAAAATGACAAAAACACTTAACAAAATGACTAAAACTTTAACTAAAATTAAAATAAAAGCAAATTCAAAATATTAATACAATTTCCTGGTGGTAATATCAAAACATAGCCTAAGCATCCATGTTATTTCACTCAGAATATTCTTTTTATTATGTGAGTTGTGATGTTAAATAAAGCATTAAAAACCCCAGAGTATTTCAAAATGTCAGCAGGAAACTTGAAAAAGACTCATTCTCCTCTCATATTTGAAGTTTGTGCTACTGTACCACTTGTCCTATAGCTGCACAAAATGAGAACTAATTTTTTATCATTTCTTGGGTCAAGAAAGAGTCAAGAGTTTGCAATATATTTCCTCCTCCCCTACCCTGAAAAAGTAGCTCTGCCTGGATGCACTTACATTCGCTGTATAGAGACACTTTCCTCATATCACACATGCACACTTCAGTAAGCCGATTGAACACAGATTAGGGCTTTTGTATGCTGGGCAAAATCAGGTAATGGGCAGAAATCTAGCTGTCAGTTTATTTTTAAGCCGGTTATGACCTTACGGCGATAAAGGAAAACAAATTAACATGTTTACATGACCACATGCGCTGTCATCTGTAAGCATAATCGGTTTAAAAACATGCATGTAAAAGCACTCAATGAAACCAAAACTACACTGAGACCCATTACTCTTAAATTGAAATGATACAGCCAAATCATTAATCTCACACTGAATCTCAAACAGATGGAAACACTTATGAGCTGAATCACCTTGTGACTTTGAAGATACGGATCAGACGGACACAGCGCAGCACAGAGATCCCGATGGGCGGGATCACATCCATCTCCACCAGCACCGTCTCCAGAATCCCACCACACACCACGAAACAATCGAAACGGTTGAAGAGCGCCATGAAGTAGATCTGAAAGCCGAAGCTGTAGAGCTTCATCAGCATCTCCAGCGTAAACAGAGCCAGAAGGATCTTATTTGCTCGGTCTGGGACATTAAAGAGACCGTATTTAAGACAGGGTCAATTCATGTCATTAAAGGCAAACTCTGGCAACACTCACACACACACACACACACACCCTGTATGTCAGTGAGCCACTGGGGTTGGCCGTAGTGTTCAGAGGCGCTGGCGGCAGTGTTGAGGAACACCAGCAGCAGCACCAGCCAGTAGAAATTGGTGGATTTGACAGCCACACGGCAGTTCTTCCTGATGACCAGATTCAAGTGGTACAGCTGCTCACTGAGAAAGAGAAGAACCGGCAAATATGAATATATTAAATGAATATGAAATGTTAAAAAAAATAAAGTATGTCAGAAATGAAGAGAAGAAATGTTGGGGTTCTGGTAAACATTATTCAACAAATAAACACCTACCAGAAGCTTATAGCCATCAGTCGTGCCCTAAGGAATATTAGAGAATTTAGATGAATCAAAGTTGTGGTGATTAATACTTTATAATGGATGGAACAGCAGTATAAACATTGTACTTACATTATAGATGCACAGCAGCCTCCGTCATCATCCAGGAACGCTTCAAACTCAGAGTCTGAATCCGATTCTGTATAAAAGAAAAAAACTGAATGTGTAACTCAAAAATAAAGTCTGTTATGTAGTTTTGTAGTTTAAAAATACATTTAAAAATCTGAGTGTAACTGTGCTCAGTACCTCCATCTTCACTGTGTTTGTACCAGCCATATTTCTTCATCATCTTTTTCTTAGCCACCACAGCACCTGCCATTTACACCACAAAAAGGCAAAACGTACAAACAAAAATGTTGTTTATTGACTGAAAAAAATATCTAAAACCTGTCTGTCATGATAAACAGAGCTGGCTGCGCTTGTGAAAATGAAAAGCACTTAATTGTATTGAATGTGCACTTGTAGTGCACTTCAAATCTTAAAAGTTTATTTTTTAAATACTTGCAGATTCAACCATATTAATGTGATAAATTGCCACTTACTGTAAGTGTACATAAGAGAGTCCACTTTCATGGCTGTTTCCAAACACTTTTTTTGTCCTTTTTAAGTACACATTTAAAAAAGTTCAACTGAAATGACATTCATGTATATTTTAGTTTACCAGTAAATGCTTGTCAGTTTTTGCAGTTTCAATAGAAGTAATTATGAAATTACATATAGAGTCCTACTTGGTCCAAACCGCAGCTAATTGCATTTAATATATTTAAACTATAAAACATTTTCATTTTATTGCAATTATCATGCAATCAAGTGTCTAAAAACTTTAAGTATATTCTTTTGAAGTATATTATTTATTTAATAAGTACTCTTTTTAGAAGTATGCAAGCGTGTACTGCTTTTTCACATGGGTGGGTATTTTATCATCAGTCATGTGACATTCTGTCATCTTCATTGGGCAAAAGTGAAAAAAAATGTATGTGCTGCTCACTCTCTGTTTTGATAGTGTGATTACAATATGAAAGGAATACTAAATAAAGCTTATATTACGTTTATTTCCGTCCTCATCCATGTCCTCTGCTTCGATGAGCCAGTCCATGTAACCGATCATGTCCTCCTCCATCTGCTGTTTCTCCTGGGCCTCCTGCAGCTCACCGCGACACACGGCCTTCTCTCTCTCTTTAGAGAACTCACTGTGATGTGAAAAAGACACACACATTACAGTCTAAACCTTCACAAGATGCCCAACAAATCACATCACAAGTCCCCCTTACCCTTAAGTCTCATATATTTATATATGCAATTTTTATTTTTATTTTTTACAATTAGTCTACAATAAAAACTATTTAACATACAACACTAGACTATTATAAAAATATATATATGAGTTAAAAGGCTTAAAAGGGATCAGGGCTGGAGTCACTCACCCGCTCAACACACCCAACACAAGATTGAGGACAAAGAAAGATCCAAAAATGACCAGAGACACAAAATAAATCCAAGGCAGCTCAAAGCCGATAGAATCATTCATCTGAGAGAAACATTGCAGATGAGAGGGGGAAAAAAACAATAAGATGTTATAAAGCTGCATATATGCAGTCAAGTGTTTTCTGAGTGGCATAAGTTGGATATAAATGTAAACAGACTGTACTAACAGTCAAGGTTAGTAAGTAATTCTATGTAGTGTTGTTATTGTTACCTAAAACCAAAAACTGGAATGAAAAATCTGAATTGCCGTGAAATAAAATATAAATATTAAAATTAAACAAAAAAAATTTAAAAAGTCATTTAAAAAGTGAAAATTAAAAATGTTGCCTTGGCAACTAACTGAAA